TTCTTCATGTTATCCCACCAATACTGCTCCTTAATGTCATGATACATCTTTGTTGAGCCGGGATGGATGGAATATCCAGATTGATGAATCTCATTCATAATCTTCTCTCGCAACCCTGCCACATTAGGCACACATAATCGGCCCTGGTATCTCAGTGCCCCATCTCCTCCGATCTCAAAAGCCATTTTACACTGCTGAATGCTCTCTCTCAATCGTACTAAGATAGGATCTTCATATTGCCGTGCTTTTACCTCGGCTACCAAGATGATTCTGATGTATTATGTACAGTAACACCTCCGTCATCAGAGTCTAACAATCTGATTCTCATATTGGCTAGCTGATGAAGCTCTTTAGTCAACCCCCATCTACCTGCCTCAATGTGTACTAAGCTTCCTATTGATTTACGGCTGAGAGCGTCTGCCACAACATTGGCTTTACTGGAATGATACAATATCTCGACGTCGTAGTCTTTCAGTAATTCAAGCCACCTACGCTGCCTCAAATTCAATTCTTTCTGCTTGAAGATGTATTGTAAACTCTTGTGATCTGTGTAGATGTCAACATGGTTGCCGTATAAGTAGTGCCGCCATATCTTCAAAGCATATATTATTGCAGCCAATTCCAAATCATGGGTTGGATAATTCTTTTCATGCTTCTTCAATTGTCTTGATGCATAAGCAATCACCTTCCCACGTTGCATCAATATTCACCCCAAACCTATACCTGAGGCATCACAATATACCACATAACCTTCTGGTCCTTCAGGAAGAGTGAGCACTGGTGCGGATGTCAATCGATTCTTCAACTCCTGAAAACTTCGTTCACAAGCGTCAGACCACTGGAACTTAGTAGCTTTCTGTGTTAACTTAGTCAATGGTGCTGATATAGAGGAAAACCCTTCTACAAATCGCCTATAATATCCTGCTATTGCGGACTTATGATGGTGTTGTAGGTCTCGGCCGATTCTTTACTGCATCGATCTTCTGAGTGTCGACACTAATACCCTCGTCAGATATCACATGGCCAAGTAATGCTACTGAGTTCAGCCAGAATTCACATTCGGAGAGCTTAGCATATAACTTACGATCCTGAAGCATCTGTAATACTATCCGCAAGTGGCCCGCATGTTCCGCCTCTGAACGAGAATACACCAAAATGTCATTAATGAATACGATCACGAACACATCAAGATAGGGCCTGAATATAGTATTCATGAGATCCATAAAAGCTGCTGGGGCATTTGTTAGCCCGAACGACATCACCAAGAACTCAAAGTGCCCATATCTTATCCGGAAGGCCGTCTTTGGAATATCTTTCTCCTTAACCCTCACCTGATGATACCCTGAACGTAAGTCAATCTTGGAGAAATACTTAGCACCCTGGAGTTGGTCAAACAAGTCATCAATCCTTAGATGTGGATACTTGTTCTTTATAGTAAACTTATTCAACTGTCGATAGTCGATACACATCCGTAACGATCCGTCTTTCTTCCGTATGAACAGTACTGGCGCACCCCAAGGTGAAGTGCTAGGCCTAATGAAGCCCTTATCCAGTAAGTCCTTCAACTGCGCCTTCAACTCTTGCAACTCTGCCGGGGCCATTCTGTATGGAGGGATAGAGATCGGTTGAGTGTCAGGCAACACATCAATGCTAAACTCAATCTCCCTCTCAGGAGGAAGGCCTGGGAGTTCATCTGGGAAAACATCTGGAAATTCATTGACCACGGGGATTGATTGTAGAGTAGGCGGCTTCGCCTCCGCATCCCTAACGCGAACGAGATGATAAATGTAACCTTTTGAGATCATTTTCCTTGCCTTAAGATAGGAAATAAACCTACCTTTCGGTGTAGCAATGTTCCCCTTCCATTCAATGACGGGTTCACCAGGAAATTGAAACCTAACCATCTTCGTACGACAGTCAACATTTGCATAGCATGAGGCCAACCAGTCCATTCCCATTATCACATTGAAATCAACCATTTCTAACTCAAATAAATTTGCCGAGGTTTGACGACTACAAATCATCACAGTGCAACCTCTATATACCCTTCTAGCAATCACAGAATCTCCTATCGGAGTAGATACCACAAGGGGTTTACTTATCAATTCAGGTTCAATGCCAAACTTATTAGCCACAAAGGGTGTAACATATGATAATGTAGATCCCGGATCAATCAGCGCGTATACATCATAAGAAAACACAGACAATATACCTGTAACAACATCTGGAGATGACTCGAGATCCTGTCGACCTACTAGAGCATAGGTTCGATTTTGAGCACCACTCGAACTCTGCACTGCACCTCTACCTCTACCTCGACCTGTCGACTGCTGAAAACCCCGTGCTGGAGGTTGAACTGATGAGGAAGAACCAGACACAGATCCAGTCGGCTGAGCCATACCACCACCTCCTCTGTTAGGACAATCCCGTATCATATGGCCAGGTTGTCCGCAAGAATAGCACGCATCAAAACCTCGACGGCACAGTCCAAAGTGGGCCTTACCGCACTGATCACAACGTGGTGTTAGGGGTCTCGTCTGAATAGTATCCCTATGGTGTTGCGAGCCTGATGCCCGTGAACTCTGACCTGGACCAGAATAGTTAAATCGATCATATCGAGGCCTCTGAAACTGTGGAGGAGCACTAGCTACAGATGGCGCCGAACTCCTCGAAGACTGGGGCCTGACATTGCCTCTAAAGTCATCAGAATACCCTGCAAATCTCGCCCGCTTATGCTGGCCCCTATCCTGCTCCCTATCTGCCCTTTGCTGGCGCTTACGATCCTCTAGGGTCTGGGCATAAGCCTGAATACGGGAAATATCCATGCCCTCCACCAAGGAGGCTGTCGTGCACTCATTTATCAGATGTGGTCCCAACCCGTTCACGAACAGATGCACCCTATCACTCATCTCTGCTACCATATGGGGAGCATACCTTGCTAAAGAATCAAACTGCATACTATACTCTCGCACACTCATATTACCTTGTCTAAGGTTCAAGAACTTATCATCTCTAGCTCGTCGTATCTCAACTGGCAAGTAGTGACGAAGAAAGGCCTCAGAAAATTCCTTCCACACAGCTGGAGGAGCGTTCGGACTCCTGGATCTCTCCCAACTATCATACCAGAGAACCGCTAAATCCCGTAGCCGATAAGAAGCCAACTCTACTGCCTCTGTATCACTAGCATGCATAACCCGCAGTGTACGATGAACCTGATCAATAAAAGTCTGCGGGTCCTCCTTGGGGTCTGATCCGGTAAACACTGGAGGGTCTAAATTAATAAAATCACGAACTCTCGTACTAACTGGTTTATCAGCAGCACCTGTATTCTGCCTCTGAGCCTGAGCAGCTACCAAGCTAGTCAATAACTGCAAAGCACTCCGCATATCCTGGTCTGTAGTGCCAGACGGAGGAACTGGAGGTGCTGGGTTCCTCCTAATATCCTCTGGAGGAGACGGAGTAGATGAGGTATGAGACGGCATCTCACTCTGAGCCTCACTTTGGCCCGCTCTGGCTTGGGGCACCTGAGTGGTACTCTCTCCAGCAGCTGTATCAAGCCGTCTACTAATTGTTTGCTTCCTAGTCGAAGGCATCGCTGAAAGAAAGCAAGGTGAATTTTAGAGATGAACACTTACGACTCAACTCTACGCACGATCTAGATTCAGGAAGAAGGTAACAACCCTAGATGTCGTGTAGCCTCCTGATTATAAATGTGGCGCGCTACACATCCATAATCAAGACTCCACTAGACACGACTCATAGACAACCCCTAGGACAGACTTGCTCTGATACCAAGTTTGACACGACCCAAACTGAAGGGCCATGACTAGCACCCGGCCATACTTGCCGAGCACCAACATACATTTTATCTAACCTTCTTTTTTATCTTTTAGGGCTGACGAGATCAATATAAATGGTAGACATGGATCATGGACAACCAACAATAAAGTATGATGGCATGAGCATATATAACATAGGATGACCAGAAAATGAAGAAACTATATATAAGGTACGAGCTACCACGCTGCCATGAAAGACTATACAACAAAAACCAGTCGACAAGGCATACCAAACTATACATGAGTCGACACCTGTCTATGAGCCTCTAAAGGAATATAAGTGCTACAACATTGTCGGAACAGGGCCCCGACATACCCATAATTTCTATAACAAAAATGCATACCAAGACCACGGCAAGTCCGAAGAAGGGATCTCGCCAATCACCGCTGAACTGGACAGCCTACTATGGTGGGGGAGTTGCGCCTGCCTGTCTATCAGGACCTGCAGCACGACATGCAGCATCCACAAATAAAAGGATGTCAGTACGAATAAAGTACTGAGTATGTAAGGCAGGGAACCATAAGTATGAACAGTTATGTAAGCAGGGATAGAGAATATACAACCTGTAACATCTGGGTACCTCTGAGGGCTACTGACATGAAATGCGGGATACATATGTATATATACATAAACTTTTAAAACATACGCCTCTGTGGGCATCATCATCATCATATCGTACCCGGCCGTAATAGGCTCGGTAAAAACATACCCGGCCATCATAAGGCTCGGTAGAATCGTACCCGGCCATGTGGAGCTCGGTAAAACCCAACTGATCAGTGGTTGCGCAATAGGTGCCGTACCCGGCCGACTATAGCGCGGCTCGGTAGAGTAAAATAGATACATATATATAATGCATGCTCGACTCTTGGAATCACGTTCTAAACCTTTTGGAGTGACGTAAGGTCGGTATCCTCTGTACACGTTATTAGGACTAACTCTTCACTATGAACCTTATAAGAATCAGGAAGTACCAACAATATTGATAACATAAGAATAAGAGAAGCAACATCAACATCAATCGTTCCATAAGAGGGCAAACAATGTAAGTACTGCTAGCTTCTAAGAGTAGGGTATCTTTGGAAGCTCGTTCATTAAATTATGTACGATCGGAGTAGTGCAAAAGAAGGAAAGGGATAGCCTCACATACCTTGTATATACTGCCCCAATCTCAAGTTATGCAATTGTCACGACTCCTTAGTCTACAATAAGATAAACAATACTATCGTTATCATTTAAGCGTCATAACTATTATGTATCGACCACAACCCATTTATAATAAAACGGGCAGCACCTCCCCTGCTTATATGCTTATATGACTTCCCATGAGTTATAACAGCCATAACAACCAGTATGCTCGTATATGATAGCTTTGTACACTTTATTCTTTCAAATTCACGAAGCATAATAATAACAACCCAACCAACGTCAACTAAAAACTACAACTATACCGACACTATCATCACGAAATCAAAGAGCGACAAGCTCCTGAGGATTTAAACAATGGTGTACTCCACAACCAACATCCTTTTAACAAAAACCAAGCTATACACGAGCTACCACACAACCCCCAATCTCCATACCATAAGAAAAGAGCCCATAACCTATTTATACAATTACTACGATTTGAACTCACGGCTTCCGATCACCGTCCCGGGAGTTCTCAATAATTACATGCCTTAAAATAAAACTTACCTTAATTGAATGTATGAAAATATGGAGAAGTTGTACGTAGAGGAAACTTTGTGTACTTCACTGTTTTAGGGAAAAAGGAAAGAGCAAGATGGAGTTTCTCCTCACATAGTTGCTGCAACGTAAATATATATATCTAACAATTCCCTCATTTTCTCAAATGATAAGGTTTCTTAAGCACTATGTATATAGAGGATAAGGTCGGCTAAAATACACCCCATCACCAGACTTTAGCAAAAGTCTATTTTTTAGTGTAGAAGAACTCTTAAGTATTTTGATATATATTGAAAAGATTTGTCCTTTACCAAGACTCCACTAACTTTCAAATTAAGTAAAATATCATCACATGACACGTAGTACTAGGAGGTCTCTTAAATAGATTACTACATCTGCTTTGATAAATATTTATTCCAAAAGTTAATACTTATCTAATAAAATATGTGGCTAGTGTTATTTACAACCTTATCAATCAAAAGGTAATAATTATACATAGTAACAAAATAAATATGTTATTATTTTTAAAGGTTAGGGCATTGATAAAAATAAAATTATATCCTGTCAAATCCTAATTTTTTTTCACAATATAATATCACAATACAAATTTTTCTACTATAAGTACTTAAAACAATAAAAAGATAACTTTCTCGTTTTATAAGAAAATTATTTTTATTTTTTTTTACAATAAAGAAAAAATCATATACTTTCTTATATTATGAGTATAATTTACCATACCCGAAAATAGTAATAATGGTAACTATCCAAAATTATACTAAAAAAAACTTTTACTAAAATACTTCACTAAAAGAAAATACCGCACTAACATAATATCTTACGGTATCAAGGTTGTTAAACTTACGGGGTGTAACAACTGGTATGTAAAGCAACTGAAAGAAAGAATTAAAAATGCTGAAACTGAAACTAAGCTGATAACTGAGAATTGACAACTGGTACTGAAATGATAACTGTTGAAACAGAAACTGAAACAATAGCTGATAACTGATAACTAAAATGATAATTGGTAATTGATAACTAAAATGATAATTGCTAACTGAAATGATAACTGATAACTGAAATGATAACTGATAACTGAACTGAACAAAGGAATTAAGGATATGAATACTCCCTCTTCTAAATGATGAACAACATGTTTATCTGAATATGCTACGGCCTCGGGCCCAATATATATGTGCACAAGCTACGGCCTCAGGCCCAAGTATATGTATACATAACTATGGCCTCAGGCCCAAAAATGCATAAAGCATAAACTACGGCCTCAAGCCAAAACATGCATAAAGCATAAACTACGGCCTCAGGCCCAAACATTCATAAAGCATAAACTACGACCTCAGGCCCAAGTATGCATAAAGCATATAAACTACGGCCTCAGGCCCAAGTATGCATAAAGCATATAACTACTGCCTCAGGCCCAAATACAGGTGTTCAACATTCAGTAACTGAGAATCAAACTGCAATACATGGTAGTGAAATACTGAATCACACTGAGTTACATAATACTGGAATACTGAATAGGACTAGACTGACACATGTATTCTTGAACTGATTATGAACACTGAAACATCAACTGTTTATGGCATACTGAGTAATCTATACTAAGACTCGGGGGCATCAAACCGAAGTCTGTATTGAATACGCACTAAGCTCACAACGTTCAGAATGAAAGTGGTGAACAAGTTATGAAGCTAGAGAATAGAAGTTCTACAACTATTCAAGGAACTAGGCTAAACTATATTTCTGAGGCAATTAGTAACGTGGTAAAAGAAACATAGTGTAAGGAGAATCATTAACATTCCCAAACATAGAGTTTGCCTCACATACCTTAACTTCCTGCTCCTGGGCGTAATACAACATTCATCAACTCTTTCAACTTTAATCTATATCAATACAAATCAAAGGGATTCCATATTAGCGATAATACTCATATTTTGGTTATTTGGCATCATATCAAACACTTGGTGAAAATAAAGCTTCATAGTCCTTATTAATGGTGTCTCTACACCCAATAACCCATTCTCTTGCTCCTAGATAAATTCTAAAATCTCAAATGGTTATAATCAACATCATTCTTTATCACTCATAAGGTAAACAACACCAATAACCAATAATAACTACCAATACCGCAAACCTATAACAGTTCATGCTTTTCTATCAAACCCATCAACTCATATCTTATGAACTAGAGTTTATAATCATTAAACCAATGCTAGAATCAATTAGAGGGTGAAGACATTACCTCTTTGAAGTTCAATCCCCTTGAATCTGAGTTCTAGGGTTCCTTCTCTCAACAATGATGTCCCAATCGAATATCTAATGATATGGAGGGTTTACCCATGTTAATAAGATGTTGGGAAATTAAAATTAACTTAGAATCACCATTAGAACTTACCTTGGGTGGTGGAGGGACCCTTAAGGAGTTAGGTTTTTGAGAGCTTTCCTTTCTAGAGCAAGTTTTTATGTTTTGGGGCTGTGAGGGACGAAATAGGGCTAAAAAAAAACGACTTCCCAAGTCGGCCACCACGTCCCAGTAGGCCTGACCACGGTCCCGACCGCGGTAAATAGCTGGAGCACTGCCTCACGACCGCGGTCAAACGCGGCCGAACGCGGTTGTTACGTACTGTTCTGTAAAACGGGCATAACATTTTACACAGAGCTCCGTTTGGGCTCTACAATATATCGTTGGAAAGCTATTTCAAAGGAATAAAACTTTCATAGTTTGCGTTTTCCCAAATTCCTTTCAAATTTTCACTAAACCTTGCTGGAATACAGACCTTCTGCAAACTTAGTCGATTTTGTCAAATCTTATGCACCTCACTTTCCATCTTGATTTTGAAATAACTATTTTCACCAATAATCATCCCTATAGGACTTCATATGTCTAAAATATCAAATTAATCCCCATTTAACATATACACACCTAGTCCGAATGTACGGGGTGTTACATTATCTCCCTCTTGGGATCATTCGTCCTCGAATGATTGTCCTGACTATAACTTCTGCTAACTCCGGACCTTAAACGGGTCTGGTGGAAACATGAACTTTCATTAACACTTGCATACTAAACTGAATGAAGACATGATTACTGAATTGTTGAGATACTGAACTGAATGACTACTGCATTGACTGAATATTGGTCTGCCATGGATTCGTGAATACTGCACTAACAAAGGTATCTGAATATTGAACTGGCACGAATATTTGAGTAATCTGAGTACTAAGCTGGCATGAATGTCTAAGTATTGGACTAACATGAGTAGTTGAGTATTGAGCTGACATAAGTATCTGAGTACTGAACTGACATGAGTATCTGAGTACTGAACTGACATGAGTATCTGAGTATTGGAAACTTGAATGTTATAACATGACACGTGAAATACTGTTGTACCACCACTAATTATGGTGGCAAGTCCAACTCATAAGCTAATTGACCGATCCTTCGCAAGAATCTATATGGCTCAATAAAGCAGGGACTATGCTTCCCCTTCTTACCAAATCTCATAACGCTTTTCATAAGCGAAACTTTCAGAAACACCCAATCATCAACTTGAAACTCTAGGTCTCTATGTCTCATGCTCGAATAGGATTTTTGGCGGCTCTGACACTACTGAAAAATTGGCCTACGGTAACGGTTGGGAAACCGTTCCCATAGACTGTTTAACCGTTGCCATATAGATATGGGAACGGTTTACAGACCGTTCCATCAGCTCGCATGGCAATAGGTCTATGGGAACGATTCTTGTAACGGTTTGCACTCTCCGTGGTTATAGATGCATCTATCGCAACAGTTTTTCCTTTCTCTGTTGGAACAGTTATATTTTCCAATTGGAACGGTTTAAAACCGTTACTATAGTGTATATGGAACGGTTCTTAACCGTTACCATATTATTTAATGCAACACTTTTGTAAGCTATTGTTACAGCTATTTATGGATATAACAACAATACCTTTACCCCTATTGCAACGGTTTTATTTTTGTGCGGGAACAGTTTATATGTTATTATGGAACGGTTTATATGACCTATCGCAACGGTTTGCATTGTATCATGGAACGCCAATTTGTGTCCTATTGTAACGGTTCTGGTAGGCTATTGCAACAGTTCAGTTGAAAAAAAATAATATAGCCCCTATTATAAATAAATATTTATATATATAAAATAAATTATAATAACACTAAAATTTAAATAAATCATAAAATGAAACTTTTAATAATATAAATTATCCATCAAGCAAATAGTATCCATAAAGCAAATGTTCTACCCCAAATGCACAAGTTTAATACATTTCAAGAGAGTAATTAGTTTCGAAAAGGTTGATACAAAAGATTCCTATAGAACATTCATCTATAGCAATTCAAATTTCATCTCAAGTACGGTCTAGTTCTTCACTTTCATCATCTTCTTAGATTTCTTGATTTACTCCACCTACAAAAGAGGATAAATAAAGTCATTACTCTTCAAGAGGATAAACTAAGCCATAGCTTGAAAGAAAAACAAGTAAATCACCCCACCATCATTGAAAATATCATTACCAAGAGTTCTATCATGAAAAACTTTTGGAAATTAACAAGCTCGATTAACAATTGTGCCTCCGAATCAAAATTAGGATCATTTAGCAAGTATCACCACACTCAACAGAATAAAACTTCCAAGAACAAAACTTACTATAACCTAAACATTTCTCTTCTTAGAACCTGATTTTGAAGCCACATAATTAACCATTTTCATAATCTCAACACCATTCAGAATGGCATTCTTCCTCATAGTACTACTTAGGTTAGAAGGATCAACGCTTACTAACAAAAATAAAATTCTTTTTTTTTGAGGAAAAAACAACAATAGTTGTGTACTGTAAATATAGGTTTCATAATAGACAATTGGATCACCTCCACAAGGCCATAAAGAGCAGCACAACAAATAAACTTAATGGCAACAACCAACAAGCCAACAAGGCAAGCATAATTTTCTCTCTGTTACTAAATTAATCAACACTTAGAAAAGTACAAACACTTAGAAAATGCAACCTAGCAAGAGCTGCTTGGTCAACAAAATAGCATCATCACCAAACAAGAAAAAGTAAGTCAAAAATTAATCCTCCAGCAGTAGAGTACAACTCAAGAAACCAAGACAGCAAAAAAAAAAGAAAAAAAAATAACCACCAAAGCTAATCAACTGTAATACGAAAACCAACAATACATACAGCAGCAAAGGAACTGAAATCATAAAGTTAGCTTCAATTACCAGATCAAAAGCAGACAATGAACCTGCTTCAGCTTCAGGCTACGTTTGGATAAAATTCCAAAATATTTAGCATCTTCATCTAGTAAAATTAGCTAGTTGAAAAGTTGGACTTCGATTGAGTTGACCAGTTGTAACATTTCATACATAAGATACCCAACGGATACCTAATAAAATATGTATAACATATTAGTCATATATACAATAAAATATAGTGAGTAGATTTTTTTAGTACCTCTACAAGATTTGGAAACATCATGACTGATTAAATGTAGAATCTGTGAGCTTTCTTTTTGTGTTTTCTTTTCAACCATATACAGGTTCAAATACACAGGAATGCACACATGAATACAGAGGGAGCAATTACAAAGGAAGGCAAGCATATACTGTCCACATACTCACAATCGAGGAGGTACTTTCAAAGGAAGCTAGAGAGGATATGAAAGACAGTAGCACAAGAAGCTTTGCATATACAGATACTAGATGGCCGGTGCCCGTGCTATGCACGGGCATTTGCCTGACATAATTGTTTCTTTCATTTGTGCACCTACAAATTACCACAAAAAAAAAAAAGATCAACACCAAGGAGATGTCTTCATAGAAAAATGAACTTATATCCAATTGCACAAAGAAAAGATTCAAGCCTAACACAATTTCAAAAGATAGAGGCAGTTCCCTCCGGTTCTCCAGTGTCCATAACATATGAACTGATCCTAAAGAAAGTATTGAATTGTTCCTCTTAACTGGTAGTCTGGTCTTCATTTACTGTAGTGCATTTCTATACCAGTGGTAATAGCAGGTACCTTCACATGAAAGCAAAAAAATATTTGTCCTGCAATAATCATGCAAAGACGTGGGTTAAAACCTAGAAAAGATGAGCCATAAATAAAAATTTGCCTATACCTTAATCCAAACCCCATGAAGAGATTGGTCATATATCAAAATTTACATATAGGATTCCTCCAACGTGAAGGCACATACAATTTCACAAAATTGGCCCATCTCATCCATGTTTTACCATAGTGATCTCTACTCCAATTGGAGTAACTTGAAGTCTTTTTCCCAGGACCAAAAAGGTAGGTACCACACAAGAGAGTTGAAACAATAACTTACTTGTGTAAGACATCAAGAAGTATATAATAATCTATGTAGAAAGCACCGTAGATCACTACTGGAAAATGAGCCTATTGCAACAGCCCTAAAACCGTTGCAACAGAGAGGCAAACCGTTGCCATAGAGGTATTGGAACGGTTTAGCAACCGTTACATACGCTGCCGTGCCAGTAGATCTAAAGTAACGGTTCTTGCAACGGTTATCTAAACCGTCGCTTAAGGTATATCTATCGCAACGGTTGTTCCGCTGCCTGAAGCAACGAGTATTGCTTTCCAGCTGTAACGATTAACAACCGTTGCCATATAGTCTATAGCAACGGTTGGCAGCCGTTACAATATAATATGTTGCAACGGTTATGTAAGCTATTGCAACATTTATTTACAAATATTCTAACGGTTTCATTACGCTACTGTAACGGTTTTATTTATTTTGCAACGGTTTTAACTACGTATTGTGTCAGTTTGTTGCATATTTTGGAACGATTTGTAAGACCTAATGGAACGGTTTTGAATACCTGTTGGAACGGTTCTTGTAGACTATATTGGAGCGATTTGCCATACCTATTGGAACGGTTTGCAAGACCTATTGGAACGGTTCTATTAGGCTATTACTCCCTGGCTGTAAATGAATATTTAGATATATAAAATTTGTAACAACCTGAAATTTATATAACATTACATTGATAAAATACTTCATAATCTATATTATCTCTATAAAACCAAAATATTTAACCCAATCACATAAGTTTTACATCAACACTTACTACATAAAACCAAAATATTTTATCCCAATAATCACATAAGTTTTACATCAACACTTCAAGAGTTAGTTCAAATATTGATAACAAAAGATTCCTAGAACATGGACAACAATTCAAAGTTCTTAAGTAAGGTCTAGATCTTCACAATCTCCATCTTCCCTTTCTTCAATTGCTCCACCTACAAAAGAGGATAAATAATGTCATTATCCTTCATGAGTTGGTTTATCATTATAAGAATGGGTATGGTCCATAAACAATGCATAAAGCACAAAGTTTCCAAATGTACTAGAATGTTTGCTGCGGCTAGACAGCAGCTAGGTCCATAAACAATGCATAAAGCACAAAGTCTTCATTCAACTACTTCAGATTTAGATTAAGGAATAAAGTTAGTGATTTTGAGGTCAATTGTGTTCAATCCAATTCTTCAAATACCCAAAGCTCTTTGCTTTCTCAAACTTTGAGGTAAATCTTATAGTAACATCTTTTACTATTTCAGCAGCAATTTTAGTGCTTTTTTATTTGATCTGTAAATATAGTCTTTTTGGGTACTAGCCAATTTTTCAGAATGGCTAATGGTAAACAAAATACAAGTTCAGCAGATAAACTTGTGATAGGTGCAGCTGTAGGTGCATCTCTCCTAGTGATCCTCGCAATAGTTATCTCTATTGTTTTCCTCTACAAAAGACGAGTAATAGCAGGGCCAAGATTTAGTATGAGAAGTTACTCCGTGACAAAGAGTAAGTACACTCTACTCAGTGACAAAGAGTAAGTACACTCTCAACACACCAGGAACAGATACTGTTATGCAACTTTCCGGTACCCAGTAGTCATAGAGTACATTCCTGGGATAGTCATGTTGTCATATTAAATATCCAGATTTTGTGTATAGTTTTATGTACCAGTTAATTTACACATCTTCAACAAAGAAGATGGTCAATTTTGGGAAGTGAAATTTCATTGTTGAGAGCAGAAATAGGTGTATGAACACTAATTTTGATTGTGCGGAAGGATGAACGTATTAATAGTTTATTTCTAAATCTGGAAAATCACACAACAGTTACAACTTGAGCTTGACATCTTTAAAACCTCTATATGTGTTTCTATAAAAGGAAAGAGATTGTAGGCCAGCAACGTAAGTATTCACTCTAGAGTCGTGTGAAAATTTCCTCCAATTCGGTCTTTTCATTCAACTCTATCCAGCAGTCTTGCTTATAGAAAAATATGGGTAAAACCAGGAGAAAAATAAAGGAATAGTCTCACAGGCCTCTGGTATCAACATCTACAATTGACTGGAATTACCTGCGATTAGTCTCATGAGTTCCTGGTGTGCTGCGGCTAGACAGCAGAAGGCTATGAAGATCTTCCCTAGGCCAACTGCGGGATCAATTTATTTGCTTTTTTCTTAAGTTAAAAAGTGATGTTTGATTTATTTATCTTCAGACAACAGCTATACAATTTTCCTAACATGTTCTCCAGCGGTTTGAATTTGAACCAACACATTCATGTGTATTTTCTGGAATTTTTGACAGATATGCAAGGAATTGAAAGAAAATAGTGGTTGTTTTAGATGATAACCACTGCTTGCAGCTTGTGAAGGCTGCATTTAAGCATGTTGATAAGTTTTCAGTTCATTTTCAATTACTCTTTCATTGAAAAGTGGATTTTTTACAATATACTAGATCATATGCCACATATAAAGCCTGATGTATGTCAACAACAACATGAAGAGCACTGTTTTTACAGTGTAGATTTGCATCCAAGATTTAACAGAAAAGGCAAATTTTGCATCCTTTTGAAGAATGCCCTTATAAATCTTTCTTGGGACCAATGTAACAAAGGGAAAACGAGAGAAGAGTTAACAGAAGCTCAACTATAGCTAGTTGATAGAAGCCTTCAATCTAGATGGCTTTGTACAGAAAACCAAGATAAAGAGGAAGCAACATGTCTGAGGAAGCAACATGTGTTGATATTATAAGCCAATTATTCTCTTTATAAAAGGTTATAGCTAAGCCGAATAAGTTTAAGTGAAAGTTTAAAAAAGAAGCAGAAGGAGGAGAAGAAGAAAGGAAGAAACAAACAAAGATAGATGTACTGACCTTAATTATTACTCCCAGCAGATAGGCGATTTATTAGTTTCACAGCAGCTTGTTGGGCAGAGGAAGCTTCTCCAGGTGAACGAGCATTGAAACCTAGCATGCTGGGATCAACCCGTAAATCTGGATTCAGATGCTTAAGTTGTGAAATGATTTTAACTGCAACTTGTAGTTCCATGGCATCTTTTTGTGCATTGAACTTTTCCTGCAATCTTTGCTGCATCCTTTCTTCCATTTCCTCCAATTTTTGCTGCATCACCTCATCAGTAGAACTTGAGGGTCCCAAATCTCCCACTTTTCTTTTTAAGGAAGTCTTGGTAACCCCACGTCCATACAATCTTAGGCGACCTGGATGCTCAGGTCCCATGACTGATGCAAATGCATCAACTGGTTGACTACCATCTTCACTTCTTGTGTGATTGTAGTCTTTCCATTTCAGCCTACAAGACCAAATTGAGTCATTATTAAATCAGAAAGTATACGAACTGAGTCAATAACTAAGAACGGACAAATGATAACAACAAACTTTAAATTAATAACTCGTACAATTTTATTAAGAGTATCTGCATACGAGGCCTTGTATACTCGATCAACTTTTCTTTTTCTGTAGCCACAAAGATGTCCTTGCTTGATAGAGGCTCAGAAGTTTCTTTTTTTTTTCCTGATTATATAAAAAGTGGTATAAAAATATATTGGACTAAAGTTAATAAGTTCATATTTAAAAGAATAATAAGAAAGAAAAAGATATCAAACCTCGCATATTCAAGCAAAACTTCTTTTGCCAGCAGTGTGTGGATATTTTAACTTTTTGTGATTCTCGGTATTGGTTTGAGATATTTTCTGCAAATCGGCCAATAAATACAAAGTTCGTCAAGTTTCAGTTGTACCCAAACTAGATTCAAATGAAGCTTAAATTTTGCACTAGGTTATGTAACCTAAGTGCATTTGATGTATAAAAATAATAATGTGATTTCTAACTAAACATAAACCAGACATTCTTAGCAAATCATGGGACAGTACTTAGTTTTACCTTGTAGGCATCAGAGTTCCAATAATTAAGAAGATCCCTAAATTGAGATTCAGGAACATCAACCGGCCTTTTCTCCATTCGAATGCCTTTGTAAGAGGAAGGCAAATTATTGATGCTGCTATGGTAGCTAATGAGTGTCTTGAATATCTATTCAAGAGGAAGATTAAAGGGGTGGCCTGCAAACTTGATGTGGAAAAGGCTTATGATCATGTAAATTGGTCATGTTTGTTGAATCTGATGAAACAAATGAATTTTGGGGAAAGATGGATTGGGTGGATAAAATTCTGTATATCTTCAGTTAGCTTCTCAGTTTTAATTGATGGGAGTCCACATGGATACTTTAATTCTCATAAGGGGCTAAGAAAGGGGGATCCACTATACCCCTATTTATTTTTGTTGGTGATGGAAATCTTTAGCAGAATGTTGTTAAAAGCTGAAAAGTTAGGGTGGATTAGAGGATTGAAAATTAGAAAAAATGAAGGGGAAGAACTGTATGTCTCACACATACTCTATGCTGATGATACATTGATATTATGTGAAGCTGAAAAAGAGCAACTCTTACACCTTAGAGGAGTACTACTAGCTTTTGAAGCTGTCTCAGGACTGAAAGTGAACTTGACAAAGAGTAATGTGTTTAGTATTAATGCTGAGCATTGTATTGATGATCCGGCAGATATTTTGGGTTGTAAAGTGGAGCAGCTACCAACCACCTATCTGGGCCTACCACTTTAGATATAATATAACAAGTTCGGAACATATTAAGAAATAACATCAAAAATAGCTTCAAGGAAAACATGGGATGCTAAAGAATTGCAACGAGCAGAACGTTGAAATAGAATACATTTAAATTACATCGTTTTTACACCAATATCGTTTTTACATCGTTAAATTACATCAATTTTAGGAAAACATCGTTTCTCCCATTTCTAATAACATTACCTGGTACTAAATAAAAGCTAATTCCGGCTTCAATTACATATACATATTTATTTGGAATGTTGTTTTTATTTTCCCCCAAAAGTTGATATTTCGCATATATGTGTGATGCTCCCTTCTTAATAGAGTGCTAGTTGAAGCAAACAGAAACTGAGAGCAAAGAACAAATACCCACTGGGCATACCAACGTAACAGAGAAAAGGAGAAAGAAATAAAATTACATCAAACCAAACTAATCAAATATTAAGAAACAATACTGAAATCAAAAAGCACAAGAAATAAACCAATATTGAAAGCCTAATTCTAACAACACCTAGGTGAAGAAAAAGAATGAGGTCAACATACCTCTCTGAATAATCAGAAGACATGCAACAATAATCTCCCTTTTTTAAGAACCTCTACATTCAGGAATCGGCTTGTTTCACGAAAACCTAGCTTCTGTTGGACAGCATCTTCGAATCGACCATAAAATAGATTTTGGAATTTGGGGATTTTGGTCTATCCTTGAGATGAATTGTCACGACCCCAGTTCACCCTCCGTGAACATGTCGTGATGGCACCTAGTCCCTATAACTAGGTAAGCCTAACAATGCGTAATTTATACAACTTGCGGAAAAACAAACTAAATTGCGAAAGCAAACAACTGAAAATTTTACTGTCAAAAGAAAACTGTGTATAAGTGCCACTTGGCATAATACAACCCATATCACGAAATCAAAACAAACTCCCAAAACCCGAAAACTCACAGGAAACACAGGCTATTAGAAATGAAATACACTGCTCTAACTCCAGAATGTCTACACAACCGAAAGAAAAGAAGTCATATACTAAAGCTGGAATAAGATAGAGACTTCTGGTCTGCGGACGTGGCAGATATACCTCAAAGTCTCTGCTAGATCTCTCCGCCGCGAGGATAGTGCGCCTGGGTGGAGGTACCTGGAGCTGCACATGAAAAACATGCGCAGAAGAGGTATGAGTACACCACAGCGGTACTCAGTAAGTGCCAAGCCTAACCTCGGTTGGGTAGTGACGAGGAAGGTCAGGGCCCTACTGAGATTAAATAAAATAATAAGGCTGTCAATAATATGAAATAAGAAGAAATAATGATATACAACTATGAAATAAATCGAAATTAACTACGAGATAAATCAGATTACACAACAACAATTAGCACACAGAAAATAAGATAACACAGAGTAAACAGCTCAATTTAAATGCCAATAATGAGGATCTCCCAGGATACCGTCCTGTAGTCCATTTTATCAATCTGAACGGGGAGCTCCCGGGATACCGTCCCGTAGTCCACCGTATGAATATATCTGAAGGATCTCCCGGGATACCGTCCCGTAGTCCCAAATATAAATGTACAGGGGGATCTCCCGGGAATCGAACCCGTAGTCCCAAAGTAAATGTGCAGGGGGATCTCCCGGGAATCTAACCCGTAGTCCCAAAGTAAATGTGCAGGGGGATCTCCCGGGAATCTAACCCGTAGTCCCAAATATAAATGTACAGGGGGATCTCCCGGGAATCGAACCCGTAGTCCCAAAGTAAACAAACAAGGGGGAGCTACCGGAATCCCACATCCGTAGTCCCAATGTAAATGCGCAACCAAAATCAGAGAAATATTCAGAAATTGAAGTACAACAATACAAGGCAACAAATAATTCTGGCCTAACATGCTCCACGTAATAACAATTAAGGCAATTTAAGCAAATAGGCAATTTGGATCAATTAAACATGCTTTTCCATACTAGCACAGGCTATAATAGCAAGTAGAATAAAGCAAATACGAAAGAAAATCAGTTCAAGTATTTTAAGTAAAAATTCGGGTTTTCAACAATTAGCTCAAGTACGCGCTCGTCACCTCACGCACAAGGCATTCAATTACCAAATATCACATCCTAAGGGACAAAGTCCCCCACACAAGATTAGACAAACCACTTACATCGAACCGGCTCAAAATTCAATCCAAAATCACGTTCTTGCCACGAGTATTTGACTCCAAATGGCTCAAATCTATTCAATTAAATTGCATAATATAAATAATAATTCAAGTAATTGATTCTACAATTAAATTCTAAGCTAATACGCAAAATTTTGTAAAATGACCAAAATGCCCCTCGGGCCCACGTCTCGGAATCGGATAATTTTTACATTTTCAGAACCCTCGTACTCTCACGAGTCTTCCGATATAAAAATCTCTCAAATCAGAGGTCAAATACCCACTCAAAACTCAACAATTTAGTCTAAGGATTTTGACCCATTTTTTATTCGAAAATCATGATTAGATTAGTAAGTATTAAGCATAAGAGAGTAGAGAATCGTTACCCAATCATTGCTCGCGAAAACCCCTCGAAATTTCTCCCAAAACCGAGCTCTAGAAGTCAAAAATGAAAGAAAATGGGAACAAAGTCCCATTTTCGGAACTTAAGATCTCTGCCCAGGCCTATTTTCCGCTTCTGCGGAAAATTTTCCGCTTCCACGGAAATTTTCGCTTCCGCGGATATTTTCCGCTTCTGCGGTACCGCTTCCGCGGCACTATTTCCGCTTTTGCGGTACCGCTTCCGCGGTCAATTTCCGCTTTTGCGGTTATGACAACAACCAACACTTTCTCGACACGGAAATGAGCATAACTCCCTCATACGATGTCCAAATTCGACGATTCTTTTTGCTATGGCTCCGAAATTACGATACAGATCTAATGGTTCAATAAAAACTTAATTTGGAGCTCATTTACTCATTGTGGTACCCCTTTATGTCCAAAGATGCGGCGTTGAAACATCAAATAAGAGCGCGATA